ATGTGGGAGGTACAGTGGGAATGGGATTCTGGACTACATAATGGTTGGTTAGGAAATCAACAATTTCCTCTGTAAGGGTGGGATAACCGTACGGTGGAGGGAGTAGTAACATGAGAGGGTGTGTGGATCTGTCTATTTCTGACTCTAATGAATGTATTCTTGCTGCATCATTATTCCTAACTTCAGCCTTCTTTTGCCTCTTATTTTTCCTATAAAACCAAAGCGGAGCAAACGTCACCCAATTCTGTCCACCCCTTGCCATATATCTTGGGTCCCACATAGGGTCTCCCTCATACCATGGGAACGCCTGTTTTTCTCCCAGACAGAGTCCCCTGACCATATCCATATGAAAAGTATCATTATCACCACTATAGGGAAATGGATCCACACTGCCCATTACTTCACTCCATTCTGCTAATCTATCTACCCAGGGATGAATTAAAGAATAATCTGTCCCACAGATACGGGCTACATAATCTTTACACGCTTCACCAACATTTGGGAGAGGGGGCTTATTCCTACTCTGACTTCTCCCCATATCTTACACTTGAATATATCTGTATCACAAATCTGTCCTATAGGCTGTAATGACAATTTATCCTATAAAAATGCCTGGACCTAAGATACTTTCTCTAGTCTTTCTCTAGTGACTGATAAAAGTGAAGATTATAACCTGGGTGTACAATACTTTCTAATAATATTCTGCCAATCTTTTCTAACTTACAACACAATTTAAACAAAACATATACATAGGCACCCAACTCAGCGTTGACACCTCACCCAGATCATCAACCAATAAGGTTTAGCTGAAGGGGTGGAGCATGTCACACTGAAATTGACAATACCTTCAGTAACTGCTGGCCCATACACTTACCAACTGGGCACTTGTGTCACACAAACAAATTATCTTATACTTCTATGCGATAGGAAGAAAAGCAAAGAGTTGCAGGACAGAACTGATCAACCCCGGACTTTTTTCCTGGTTTCTTCTCAGAGAAACTCTTTTCAGTCTCTTCTCATAAGAGACTTTGCAGTTCCCAAAACTGCCTCTAGTCTTTTTCCAAAAAGACCTTGTGCTCCCCACAGCACTTTGCGCCTGGCCACTGGCGTCTTATGACGCTGAGTCCAGTGCTACCATAGGGCATGAGATTTCAATCAGAGCCTTACCGGCAAGACAGACTAAGTGACAAAAATGACAAAAAATCTTACTTACCAAAGGATGATTATCTCATCCCGGACACAAGCCCCCAATTGAAAGGAATTGGCTCTTCTCGTTCCTTCCTGTAGCCACTGACCCCCGTCAGCCCCTGGCCTTGATCAATGTCTGTCCTCAGGCCTGGAGTCCCCTTTGAGATACAGGAAAATGCACACAGACACAAGGTGGTATCTCAGAAGGAACTGAATTTATTCTTCCGTGTTTAAACTTATATATGAAACTTAAAACAATACATAGAAATATAAGAACCAATCAATTGACAGGTATGTATTAACCAATCAGAATATTACATACGTCAGTCATGCCCAATCAGTTGGCATATATGTTAATTATTATTATATACGTCAAGCTTTGAACTTTTGAACAGCACAGAAAGCAGACAATTCCTCTTTTACCGCTGGCTTATAGTTATTAATACTCTTGCAACAGGATGTAGCCCACCGCAGACTTTCAGTCTTGGGCTAGCTAAGGGAAAAAGGGGAAGTTGCACCTGGACAAAAAAAGAGGAACTTTTTAACTCCTGACAAAATACCGTTTAAGACAAGAAAGTCAATTCTTTTACAATACTGACTTAAGATGGATACTGATTCTAAGATGGAGGAACTTTGGCTCAGAGAGACAAGATGGCTGAGACATCAAACTTAGGGCTAATCCCTTCAGTGGACAAGAGGTCCTGGTGACAGTTCTACGAGCATACAGGTGGGCATCTAAGATCTTATACACTAATCTAATATACACTCACCGGCCACTTTATTAGGTACATTTTATTGATGCCAAGAAAATGTCCTCAACACTATTATGCCACCAGCAACAATATGAAAGCAGGAAGGATCCATGCTTTCACATTGTTTACGCCAAATTCTGACCCTGAATGTTGCAGCAACCAGTCTGCCCATTCTCCTCTGACCTCTGACATCAACAAGGTCCCAGTGGGTCAGCAGTTTTTGAAATACTCAGACCAGCCCATCTGGCACCAACAACCATGCCACATTCAAAGTCACTTAAATCCCCTTTCTTCCCTATTCTGATGTTCAGTTTGAACTTCAGCAAGTCTTCTTCACCATGTCTACATGCCTAAATGCACTGAGTTGCTGCCAAGTGATTGGCTGATTAGCAATTTGTGTTACCAAGCAATTGAGCAGATGTACCTAATAAAGTGACCGGTGAGTGACTTTTTTTTGTTTATTTAGCAAAAAAACAAACCCAGTGGTGATTAAATAACCACAAAAGAAAGCTCTATTTGTGTGAACAAATTGATAAAAATTTAATGTGGGTACAATGTTGCATGATCGCGCAATTGCCATTCAATGTGTGACAGTACTGAAACCTGAAAATTGGCCTAGGCAGGAAGGAGGTAAAAGTGTCCGGTAGTGAAGTGGTTAACCAAACTAAACATGCATTATTTACAGTGCTATATGTGGTCAGTCTCTAAATCATATACCCCTTATGCTATATTAAAAAAATAGATAGGTGAATCACAAAATATGCATAAATCCCAAACTGCTCTTCATTAAAGTGTTTTTTTTTTTTAATAAAATGACAAGCATATTATACGTACTTGCTCTGTGCAATTGTATTACACAGAGCAACCCCATGCTTCCTCTTCTGGGGTCCCCCGCCAGTGCTCTGGGCTTCTTATTTTCTGTGTCTGCCCCATAGAAAATGCTTGCTATGGGGGAAAGATGTATGGGCTTGATCTCGAGCCGGGCTGTGTGTGTCCATTTACACATACAGCGTGGCTTGGACCCATTCCCCGCTCTCAGTTCACAGAATTTGACTGACAGCAGCAGGAGCCAATGGCTCCCACTGTTCTCATCCAAGCTTGTGAGAGAGGAGAGAAGACCAGAAGACTAGACTGGTTTAACTGTGACTTGTTACAGGTTGCCAGGAGCAGTCTGGAAGATGTAATTGTACAGGAGGATTCTATCCACAACTGTTCATGGGCTGCAACTACAGGGCCCATAAAGCACCTGAGAGCAGGATGGACCATATAAAAGAAAAAGCCTGGGAATGAGCCGGACAGCTGGGGGAAGCATGCCAACCGGGTGTCAGGAATGGACTGGCCAGCAATGGTGGGACTCACCTGCCTTTTGATCTGCAGTACCAGGGCTGGCCAGCGGGTGCTCCCAGCAATCAGAGACTCAACCTTTCAGCCAGCTAACACCTGGAACTGATGATACTGGTGTATTTAAGGGATGGCCAGACTTGCAGACTCTGCCTTGGTGTTGTGTTTGTCCTGGGCCCTGTATCCTGTTTCTGTCCTGCATCCTGTTTCTGAACCACTGCTGACTTCTCCTGCTCTGATCCCGGCTCGCTCCTGACCATCCCTCTGTCTGACCCTCTGTACCACGCTGCTTGCTACCTGTTCTGATCCCTGGCTTGTGACCCTGACCATCCCTCTCTGCCTGACCCTCTGTACTACGCTGCTTGCTACCTGCTGAACCTGGCCTGTGACCCCGATCAATCTCCGCTTGCTCCCCCTGTACCTATCTGCCCTATTGATATTGACCCGGCCTGCCTGACGACGCTTGCTTGTATGTACTGTTATCTGTGGGTGGTTGGTTTGGTTTGGTTGCACTGTATTGTGTTTTAGTATTGCACTGCGTTTATGTTTGTATTGTTAGTGTTAATAAATTATATTGTTTATAACATATCTGAGGTCTGCGTTTCCCTGCGTCAGCCACACACCTCTGGTCACACCTGGGAGCCCTGACATTACACCAAGGCCAATCCTGACCAGAAGTGGCTGCACAGGGAAGCCATCTTGGCTTGTTGCTGGGAAGGATGGATCTGGATGAGGTTGTGTATTTATATCTGCTAGTGTTTGATGACAGGGAGTATGCTTATCAAACTCTGAAGGAGTATCCCAGGGATCAACTGCTAGAATGTATACGGCTCGCTCATGTTCTAGTAGATCAGGGCACAGAGTTCTCTGAGGTGCAGCCTTTGATTGAGGTTTGTGCTGGGTTGGTTTCATCTGGTTCCCCCGAATGCAGGGATGAATTTTTGCCACCATTTAGTGCAGACCAGGTAGAGTCCCTGGTATGGTTATTAGAGGATGATGTGGGTTACTTTCTGGAGCGTTATTCCACATGTTCACCACAGACACTAAGAGATTGTATAAACGCAGTGCAGTCATTGACCAGACAGGCTTTGTGTAAGCTCAGCTTTGTTCAACCCCTACTGCAGACATGGACAGACTTGTTGCACCCAGCCTCAGTCAGCTTACAAAAACCCAGTCCTGCTTCTAACTCTACTCCTGTATTCCCACCAGCTCCTACAGTTACAGCCCAGTATACTTGGCTATCTACCGCATGTCAGTCCCCTGTTCCCACTCGCTGCACCTATCCTGCCTTTAACCCTGTAAAAAAGCCCTCTGTAGCAACTGCTCCCTCTCCTGTTCCATCCTCCAGTTCTTCTCTGTCTCCAGCTGCTCCATTCGTTTGCAGACCTGCGTTTACTTGCAGTGCTCCAGTAGTTAAAACCAGAAAGAAGCGAAAATTCTTTCCAACCAATACCATCCTGCCAGTATCCAAACCGGTGAACCTGCCTTCCGTGGTTCAGCCTGAAGCCTCTACTCAGCCTGAAGCCTCTCTTCAGCCGGATGCCTCTCTTCAGCCGGATGCCTCTCTTCAGCCTGATGCCTCTCTTCAGCCTGATGCCTCTACTCAGCCTGATGCCTCTACTCAGCCTGATGCCTCTACTCAGCCTGAAGCCTCTACTCAGCCTGAAGCCTCTACTCAGCCTGAAGCCTCTACTCAGCCTGAAGCCTCTACTCAGCCTGATGCCTGCATTCAGCCTGATGCCGCTGCTCAGCGTGATGGACTGATCCAGCCCGGCGATCCTATTGGGCCAGTTGACTCGGTGCCCGCTGTTGATCCAGATGATCCGGTGCCTGATCCGGTGCCCGCTGTCGTGCCAGTTGACTCAGAGCCCGCTGTCATACCTGGTGACCCGGTGCCCACTGCCTTGCCAGATGACCTGATCCCTGGTGACCCAGTGCCCGCTGTCATACCTGGTGACCCGATGCCCGCTGTCGAGCCAGACAATCCGATGCCTGGTGACCCGGTGCCCACTGTCGTGCCTGTTGACTCGGAGCCCACTGCCTTGCCAGATGACGCGGTGCCCGCTGTCGAGCCAAATGACCTGATGCCTGGTGACCCGATGCCCGCTGTCCTGTCAGACGATCCAATGTCTGACCCAGTGCCCGCGGTCATACCAGTTGACTCGGAGCCCACTGCCTTGCCAGTTGATGCGGTGCCCGCTGTCGAGCCAAATGACCTGATGCCTGGTGACCCAGTGCCCGCTGTCATACCTGGTGACCCGATGCCCGCTGTCGAGCCAGACAATCCGGTACCTGATGACCCGGTGCCCACTGTCGTGCCTGTTGACTCGGAGCCCACTGCCTTGCCAGATGACGCGGTGCTCGCTGTCGAGCCAAATGACTTGATGCCTGGTGACCCGATGCCCGCTGTCCAGTCAGACGATTCAATGTCTGACCCAGTGCCCGCGGTCATACCAGTTGACTCGGAGCCCACTGCCTTGCCAGATGACGGCGGTGCCTGCTGTCGAGCCAAATGACCTGATGCCTGGTGACCCGATGCCCGCTGTCCAGCCAGACGATCCAATGTCTGACCTAGTGCCAGCGGTCATGCCAGTTGACTTGGAGCCCACTGTCGTGCCTGGTGACTCGGTGCCCGCCGCTTCGCCTGGGGGCCCGAGACCTGTCGCTCCGCCTGGGGGTCCGGCGCCCGCCGCTCCGCCTGGGGGTCCGGCGCCCGCCACCCCACCTGGGGGCCCGAGACCTGTCGCTCCGCCTGAGGGCCCGAGACCTGTCGCTCCGCCTGGGGGTCCGGCGCCCGCCGCTCCGCCTGAGGGCCCGAGACCTGTCGCTCCGCCTGGGGGTCCGGCGCCCGCCGCTCCGCCTGAGGGCCCGAGACCTGTCTCTCCGCCTGGGGGTCCGGCGCCCGCCGCTCCGCCTGAAGGCCCGAGACCTGTCGCTCCGCCTGGGGGTCCGGCGCCCGCCGCTCCGCCTGAGGGCCCGAGACCTGTCGCTCCATCTGGGGGTCCGGCGCCCGCCGCTCCGCCTGAGGGCCCGAGACCTGTCGCTCCACCTGGGGGTCCGGCGCCCGCCGCTCCGCCTGGGGGCCCGATGCCTGTTGCCCCGCCTGGGGGCCCGATGCCTGTCGCCCCTCCTGGGGGCCCGATGCGTGTCGCCCCGCCTGGGGGCCCGATGCCTTTCGCCCCGCCTGGGGGTCCGGCGCCCGCCGCCCCGCCTGGGGGCCCGATGCCTGTCGCCCCGCCTGGGGGTCCGGCGCCCGCCGCTCCGCCTGAGGGCCCGAGACCTGTCGCTCCGCCTGGGGGTCCGGCGCCCGCCGCTCCGCCCTGAGGGCCCGAGACCTGTCGCTCCATCTGGGGGTCGGCGGCGCCCGCCGCTCCGCCTGAGGGCCCGATGCCTGTCGCTCCACCTGGGGGTCCGGCGCCCCGCCGCTCCGCCTGGGGGCCCGATGCCTGTCGCCCCGCCTGGGGGCCCGATGCCTGTCGCCCCGCCTGGGGGCCCGATGCCTGTCGCCCCGCCTGGGGGCCCGATGCCTGTCGCCCCACCTGGGGGTCCGGCGCCCGCCGCCCTGCCTGGGGGCCCGAGACCTGTCGCTCCGCCTGGGGGTCCGGCGCCCGCCGCTCCACCTGAGGGCCCGAGACCTGTCGCTCCGCCTGGGGGTCCGGCGCCCGCCGCTCCACCTGAGGGCCCGAGACCTGTCGCTCCATCTGGGGGTCCGGCGCCCGCCGCTCCGCCTGAGGGCCCGATGCCTGTCGCTCCACCTGGGGGTCCGGCGCCCGCCGCTCCGCCTGGGGGCCCGATGCCCGCCGCTCCGCCTGGGGGCCCGATGCCTGTCGCCCCACCTGGGGGCCCGATGCCTGTCGCCCCGCCTGGGGGCCCGATGCCTGTCGCCCCGCCTGGGGGTCCGGCGCCCGCCGCCCTGCCTGGGGGCCCGAGACCTGTCGCTCCGCCTGGGGGTCCGGCGCCCGCCGCTCCGCCTGAGGGCCCGAGACCTGTCGCTCCATCTGGGGGTCCGGCGCCCGCCGCTCCGCCTGAGGGCCCGAGACCTGTCGCTCCACCTGGGGGTCCGGCGCCCGCCGCTCCGCCTGGGGGCCCGATGCCTGTCGCCCCGCCTGGGGGCCCGATGCCTGTCGCCCCGCCTGGGGGCCCGATGCCTGTCGCCCCGCCTGGGGGTCCGATGCCCGCCGCTCCGCCCGGGGGCCCGGCGCCCGTCGCCCTGCCCGGGGGCCCGGCGTCCGTCGTCCTGCCCGGTGTGCCAGTCTTTGATATCCCGCCAGTTACCAGACCCGGGCGGTGGAACATTTTGCCCAGCTAGGACTGTTTGGAGCGTCCTGAGGCCGCTCCTTGAGGGGGGGGTACTGTCAGGAATGGACTGGCCAGCAATGGTGGGACTCACCTGCCTTTTGATCTGCAGTACCAGGGCTGGCCAGCGGGTGCTCCCAGCAATCAGAGACTCAACCTTTCAGCCAGCTAACACCTGGAACTGATGATACTGGTGTATTTAAGGGATGGCCAGACTTGCAGACTCTGCCTTGGTGTGTTGTGTTTGTCCTGGGCCCTGTATCCTGTTTCTGTCCTGCATCCTGTTTCTGAACCACTGCTGACTTCTCCTGCTCTGATCCCGGCTCGCTCCTGACCATCCCTCTGTCTGACCCTCTGTACCACGCTGCTTGCTACCTGTTCTGATCCCTGGCTTGTGACCCTGACCATCCCTCTGCCTGACCCTCTGTACTACGCTGCTTGCTACCTGCTGAACCTGGCCTGTGACCCCGACCAATCTCCGCTTGCTCCCCCTGTACCTACCTGCCCTATTGGTATTGACCCGGCCTGCCTGACGACGCTTGCTTGTATGTACTGTTATCTGTGGGTGGTTGGTTTGGTTTGGTTGCACTGTATTGTGTTTTAGTATTGCACTGCGTTTATGTTTGTATTGTTAGTGTTAATAAATTATATTGTTTATAACATATCTGAGGTCTGCGTTTCCCTGCGTCAGCCACACACCTCTGGTCACACCTGGGAGCCCTGACACCGGGAGAGAGCTGTGCTGTGTCAGGCTGTACTGTGTTGAGCCATGGATGCCAAAACCAGAAGGTTGATCCGAGTGGGGACATGTGCATCCAGAGTCATTGTCCAAGTCAGCCTTTCTCAACCAGGGTGCCTAGGCACCCAGGGGTGCCTTCGGACTTTGTCAGGGGTGCCTTGGCAGTATGCCTAAAAACTGCCTAAAAATTGTATACAAGCCAGCAGGTGGATCAAACCTGCCATTTAATTACACAAAGCCATAGGTTTTCATTGCGTACTTTTACAACCTGCCAGCTGCCGGCATCCTAACAACCAATGACATCATCAGTTGATAAGGAGGATGTTGGGCGCCTTCACAGCATCCTTGTTTTCTCCTCCCCTGCCCATCTTTATCAGCAGTGAGGTCACATTAGCAGAGTGAGGGAGAGGAACTAAGGAAGAAACACTGGAATACTAGTCAGTACCAGTTTGCAAAGAAATATTTGCTTTGGAAGAATAAATCACTTCTAACGTTGGGTGTTCTATGAGTGTGGATGTTGCTGTATTATGTAAAACTATTAGAATAGTTGTTTTACATTTTAGAATGGGGTGCCTTGAGATTGTGCAGAATGTTAAAGGGTGCCTTGAGATTGTCCATCATTTTAAAGGGTGCCTTGACACTGGTCCAAGACATGTTTGCATCTGCTACTGGTTGTTGGCAGTTCTCAAGCAAGGTATCCTGGTGGTGTCAGTGAGTCTGAGGCGTTACCTAGGGCTAGGAAGAGCAGAGGACCCAAGATTATTAGCGGCTCCTGCGGGGGTAGCACTACATATATATACTGTACATAGCTTAAGGGGGTTAGGGCTGGTTTGTTTTCTATCATTTAAAATGTAGACTTTTACACCACAAATGCCAGCATGCAGCAGCCAATTCATGTTATGCTATTGAGAGTTTAGTACAGGGAATGCTGAATAGTTGCTATGAGTTACTGCGCTTTACTCTTCGCAGTGTCTGTTAAATGATTCTAATATAATGAAATATTATTGCATAATCTTGTATGGTAACCACATCTAACAAATGTAAGTTTATTACATTTGTTTTATCTTTATTATCATCTTGTAACTGAAGATTAATTATTACATTTCTGCTATTTGTTGAATTAAAAGGATTATGTAAATGAAAAGAAAAATTCCACTTTCACCGTTAAAACAAGTTAATTGTTTTATTTGTTTGATCTTAATCTCCAGAGTCCTTTCCAATGCGACTGAATATTTTGATAAATTCCCTAGCTGGCAACAGGAAGTGTTTTACTGTGCTTCCAGGAAAGGAATACCAATGTATTAATCAAGAATGTTAGGCACAGAGCTTCAAAGAAATTGAGTAACTGTTTCAACTAATTGGATAAGCCGTGCATGTGTGCTTGTGTGATGCCTGCTTTTAAACATTTTAATTAACAACTGTAGGAACTTAAAAGGATATATCATACATTCATTTCTTCCATGTTATTAAAGTGTCCCTAACAGTGAGAAATAGCTTTGTAGAAAAAGCATCCTCTATTTCCTTATACTATGAATAAATATGTGGCTACTTTAACTGCAGACAGTTCAGTTTATAAGGATTTTACTTATTCACATTTTTTATTGCGCTATATGGCAGTGTGAGATTGGCACTTTGTGTACTGTATCTGACAAAATAATTATAATAAAAACCCCATTGTTTGTGGTTCATTAGCAGGTACTCATTAGTCCTTTTATACTGAAATGCTTAGGTATTTTTTTTAGAGTCCATGTCCTGGACTGTACCAGTGAGTTCTACAGTATAGAACATATTTCTAATGTGGGGAACTTTGTACAAGCAATGAAATGGAATAACAAAAATACATCAATTTCGATATGTTGGTTAAATTACTGCTTCCGGAGATACATTAATAAAAGTGACACATGACAATTTGTTAAAGAATTATCACTATTTTTGTACATTATTCAGTTCATGATGGGGCAAAGTACATGTACCACAGGTGTAGTCTGGCTTGGTTTGGATGTGACAACAGACCCTGTAGAAGGAGATCTGGAATCTGGAGGAGAAGGATAGTAGATTCCAGGGCCAGAGGCTGCAATAGAGGATACCATCTGCAATGCCACAGGGGAATAATTGCTATTGTCACACCTGGATGACTAGATAATCTGCTGAGAAGCCTGAATACCAACAGAACTGGTGGGAACACATACACAGCTGGATGCTACTGTATTTACTGCTGGAAAGCTGGAAATTTTATGCTCAACAGGAAGTGTTTGCACCTCATGTTGGTAGGGGTTGCCATCAGGTCTGGGTACCCACCGCTGATTGCAAATCCTTTAAAAAAAAAACAACTTGTTCAATGACCACTCAATGTCAAAGACTTTACAGCTCATCCTATCTGCCAGAAAGTTCTGCAGTGCTGCAATGTAAGAACCCAGACTGTAACTGGAAGCATCTCTGACAGCGGTGAATGACTTCATGTCTCTCCTTGGCATTGAACATAGGATGCTTGTTGTCCATATGAAGCATGACCCTGGCACCGTGTAGTCGATTTAAATACACTAACAAACTGGTGCCAAACCATAGCCAGTGCTTTATAAGCAGTTACAGTAAACTTTTTTTTCCTTTTGGCATAAAGGTTTAACATAAATAAATTAAAGCTGATCATTGTAAGCACCCCTGTCTGTGGTGTCCAGTATTTTGGAGACCTCGCTCCTCCACTTACTCCTCTACTGGCCTTGTGCCTAGGAGATTGTTGAGGTGAGCACCCAAGCACAGATAAATACTATGTGATCAGTATTGGTGGGCCTGAAATAAACTGATGGCAGTTGAAGAGGTTCGATGGCTTCAGCCACCACCAAACAGACTGTTTCATGTGTAGGGTCAACTTGATCCTTTGCTGCAGGAAATGCCTCTTCCATTGCTTCAAAAAACCTACCTGAAAGGATCTTAGCCTCTAGTATGCCCACTTCACCAAAGGGATTGTTGCAGACAATGTCTCCAGCAACCTGAGACACTGAGAGGCAGCCAGACGGGCGAGAGATATTACCCACCTCAGATGGGACATTAGGACTGTTGCTTTCTCTAACAGAAATGCCATTGCATTTTTCTGAGTGTCTAGGACAGCCTTTAGAAACATCATCCTCTGTGTGGGAATGAGCTGTTTTTTTTTAAAAACTGATGATCCACCCAAACTTCATGAAGGTTTGAATCAGAATGTCTCGATGACTGGATACTGTATGAGGATGACATGCTCTCAGCAGGCTGTCATCCAGGTAGTGGATCTCTTGCAATCCTTGCTTGAGTAAAATGACAATGACTAACAGCAGAGTTTTGGAAAATGTCCCATGAAACGTGGAGGGCAAAATGCAAGCAAATAAACTGGAGATGGAATTTCAGCCCTGTAAAATGAAGGTATTTGTGGAAGTGTGGATGCACCAGAATGAGTAAATACATGTCGGCCAGATCTAGAGACAGGATGCTTGCATGACTGATTGCAATGATCCCATTCAAAACTTTTGAACCATGATCCTTCTGTTCAGTTATTTCAGGTCCAAGGCTGCCCTTAAGTCTCTTGTTTTTTCTTGACTATGAATATTGAAGAAAAGAAGCCTTGAAATATTTCTTGAACAGGTACTGGTTGAATAGCCCTGTTCTACAATAGTGTCTGGATATACT